AGCCATGGCAATGGAGAAAAGGAAAGTAAAACTACCTTCTTATTCCATTTTGAGGTGAGAGGGGAGGGAGGAACAAAATAGTCCAACACTACAGTGTCAGGAAAATAAAGGCAATGTTTGCATTCCTGGCACTGTAGTGTTCCTTTAATATTGTGTTAAGTAAACAAATAGGATATTAAAAGTAAGTGTTTTCTGTCCTTTAAAAAGCAATATATAATATGCATGTATGGGTGCACTCAAAGATAAACCCGTACTTATGTTGGAACAAATACGTAATACAAATTCTAGGCTGAGTTGGGTACAGAAGTTTGACGATTGCCTCCGACCTTAAGGGATTAATCTTCACGGATACTTGTTTCTCTTGCCTTAAAAATAAAATAATGAAGATAATTGCAAGAATTCTGGGCAAAAAAAAAACAACTTAGGCTGGTGGTCATTTAATGGACATCACACTTTGGATTTTCTTATACCGTGGCAAAGTTAAAACAGCAGTAACTTTTACCTTCTCATTCCAAAAGTCAGTTCTTAGTATCGTTATCCCCATTCTTTCTCTCCTTCCTATTTTTTTTTATCCCTCTCTCTCTTTCAAGGACACCCACTTCCTATTAAGCCTGCTGTATCAGCACAGCTATCTGACACAGCCCAACGATCTCGCTTGTCCCAACCCAGCACAAACCAATTTATAAAGTGTCAAGACTCCACAAGCTCCTGTGTTCAGACTTTGACATGCAATAAGTGCGAGGAAGTTATGCTAGAATGGATATTTAAGGAACATGATCACGCAAAAATATTACTTTGTTGAAACTGAAGTTCTTGTTCATTTTTCTCTGAGGTTTAGCAAGGCTCACAGGAACTTGGATTAGTCAGAATTCGAGATTTGTTCACTTTTAAGTTTATTTAGAGTTCTAGTCGTGTTAGTATAATGCTCATTGGTGTTAATAGATAGAGATGTCGCGAACCGTCCGCGAACTTCTCGCGAACGGTTCGCCGCGGTTCGCCACGAGCTGTTTGAGGCTAACTCCGGTCAGCTGACACGTCCCGGCCAATCTCCAGCATACCCTCCCTCCCAGGCCCTCCTACTTCCTGGACAGCATCCATGTTGATGCTGTCCAGGAAGTAGGAGGGTCTGGGAGGGAGGGTCTGCTGGAGATTGGCCGGGACGTGTCAGCTGACCGGAGTTTGTGGCGAACAGCTCGTGGCGAACCGTGGCGAACCGTTTGCGAGAAGTTCGCGGACGGTTCGCGACATCTCTATTAATAGATGCTCGAAAATTCAAATTAGAACCACTGTACGAAGAATATTTGTGGATCTATATATACAGAACAATCTGTCTTTGGAATAAACAGAATTCTTTACCAATATATTTAATCTATGGATTGATATATTTACACATTATTTACAGACGCACCCACACACATTAAATGTTATAAAGACTGGTGGAAGGCAATTGTAAAGAAACCTTTGGTTCTGTATAACTGGATATTAAAGGGAAATATATATTTTTGTGATTGATATTTTCAAGAATGAAGCTGAATGTTGTAGTAAACCAGGAGATTTAGGGCTCGTTTATTAGTGCACATAAAAAGAGTAAGCAAGAAAAAGATTAATGTTTTGTTTCTTTTAGAAGATCCATAGAATTTACTAGTCTGACTCGTGGTGTTAAAAAGTAGCATAAACGTATAGCTTCAGCATGATGATTTTTCTTTTATAAAACCTTAGTATTGATGATATTAGACATGCCAAAGCAGCCCTGGGTTCATCCGACAACCCCTTGTTGCAACTTTACCAAAGCAAGATTACATGCGCATGATCACAGATTAGGAACCAGTCACTAAATTCTCCCCATAGAGAATTACTAACTAAAAAGACAAATGTACCGGAGAGGTGGAGGATTGGTGGTATGGAGGGCTAAGATGTTTTTCCTAATAGTTTGCAATGTGTGCTTGGGGGTAAGAAATGTGTGGGGAGGCTGAAGTCACAGAGTTTGTTCCCACACATCACACACAGCCACCACCCAAAGCCACCCCACACACAGCCACTACAAATATAACTATCACACACATAGCACACGTACAACCATCACACAGGTCTCTCAGCACATAAAACGTGTAGAATCCTTCCTGCACACAACATGCAATAACCATTCACAAACATCGTCTTTCTAATCATTAAGAAGGCCAGGCAATTCTTGCACAGGGCAGGGGCCCTTTGTTAAAGGAACACTATAGTCACCTAAATTACTTTAGCTATATAAAGCAGTTTTAGTGTATAGATCATTCCCCTGCAAATTCACTGCTCAATTCACTGTCATTTAGGAGTTAAATCACTTTGTTTCTGTTTATGCAGCCCAAGCCACACCTCCCCTGGCTATGATTGACAGAGCCTGCATGAAAAAAAAACTGGTTTAACTTTCAAACAGATGTAATTTACCTTAAATAATTGTATCTCAATCTCTAAATTGAACTTTAATCAAATACAGGAGGCTCTTACAGGGTCTAGCAAGCTATTAACGTAGCAGGAGATGAGAAAATCTTAATTAAACAGAACTTGCAATAAAGAAAGCCTAAATAGGGCTCTCTTTACAGGAACTGTTTATGGAAGGCTGTGCAAGTCACATGCAGGGAGGTGTGACTAGGGTTCATAAACAAAGGGATTTAACTCCTAAATGGCAGAGGATTGAGCAATGAAGCTGCAGGGGCATGTTCTATACACCAAAACTGCTTCATTAAGCTAAAGTTGTTCAGGTGACTATAGTGTCCCTTTAATTAGTTTCACCATTGGGTAGTGAGGTTGTTTGAAAAAAATGACTCCATTTTAAACAGATGTCTGTCAGCATTTAAGTGCCATTTCAGACTGGAGATCACTGGCCTAGGCATTGCATGGCTTGTGCCCTGGGAGTCAAGATTTGGGGGACCACACCGACATGACAAGGGCATGTGAGCTGTTTGTTACATATAATTTATAGAATTCCATTCCCTTTTAAGTATATTTTTGTAATGCCACAATGTAAACGGCAAAAGTCTATTCTGTGCAAAGTTTATAAAGTGAGAAAAGTGCAAATAATTAAATAAATATTTATTGGACTTAGTGTTATCATAGCATTCACAAGGATCCCCTGATGATTAAGTATATCCTTCAATATGTACTAGAAGAGACATAATCAGAGAGAAGACAAAATATAGCGGATAATGTTCCAATATCATAAAAGAGTACATTTATTACCCTTGACCTTAAAATGACATGAAACAGCTTATTATGATCCTTCTTGTCTCAACTCACTATAGCCTTTAAATTGTAAGCACACAGGTTATCCAGCTAGGAACTTTGTATGCAAGGCTGTAAATTCTACTCCAGATGCTGTGGACTACATCTCCCACAACGCTCTTACAGTCCTATTGATGGCAAAGCATCATGGGAGGTGTAGTCCAAAACATCTGCAGTGCCGAAGGTTTCCTATTCCTGTGCTAGAGCTTAGTTTATGGGCAATTTTTTCACAATTAAAGATAGATATTATGGCATTGAAAATGAAGGATGCTATATTTTCAGTAGGAGGCCCCCAATTTACAAAAATAGAGTGCATCGCAATGTCACGTAACATCTGCCAACACCACAAAACACTGCTCCTTTAAGAGCATTATGGTAATATATTTTTGTGTTGTTTTTTTTTAATGTTTGTGCTGAACACTGATGCATTTTATTGTGGGGTCCCCGGTGATTACATTTGCCTTTTTTCTGCCCCTGGGTATAACAGATGTAAGTTACAACAGCTGCGATGAATTCAATTGGAAAAAAAAAAGACAACAAACAGCAAAATAAAATCCTGCAGGCTAGCAATGAGAGAATAAATGAGTTTATGTATATAGCATCCATTAATAAGATACACCTTCTCTATTGCACTCTCTGCTTTTTTACATTGCTGATGGTTACATGGGCACCTGGACTCGCAAGATTTTGTTTTGGAGAAAAAAAAAAAGCTTAAATCACAAATCAAATTTGTATATTAAGTGCGGTGTGGTATAAAATGATGTATGCAAGCTCTGTATTTTTATTATTAACTATAAATTATTATGCATATTCAGCAATGCACCACAACAGCGTGACAAGTGAAAAGAATGAAACACATAAAATAAAGTGTTTTTTTCCACATTATACATTACTCTCCAAAGCACACACACTTTTTTAAAAATACGAAATCAGCACTTTACTGCCATATTTTTTTTTTTTTTTAACACATATTAGCATAACATTTTCTTTATAACATGAGACGTAGAGATAGCTCGTAAATACAGGGGAAAAACAATTTCTTGTATGTATATATCTTCAGAGATAACTAAAAATTAAAGCAATGTACATTTTCAGAATTTAGATTTTTCAGCAAATTGTCAACGCTCTGCTGAAATGTTGGAGAATAAAACGTGTTAGCGGTTGTATGGTATCCCTAATCTTCCTGTATATATAAGCATAGAAGCAGAAGGACATATTGCAACAGAAGATATGACAATATAGAAATATCCTGTTAATGTGTATCTGGAAGGAATCTAATGGGTTTTTTTGGAATGCAACTTTCTAAAAATACCACCGGACTGTAAGTTATGTCTGCATGTGGGTATAGTGCTCAAATACAGAAAGTACCGTTGTACCCAGTATTTGTATTTTACGGGGCTTTGCAATATGCAACTGCAACCTACCAACAATCCATGTAACATACTCTTTTTAGAGCCCTCCCCTCCAGCTGCTCAATTGTCCAGCTAAGTGAAATGGCCCAGATTAGAGTTCAACCACGGACAGTCCTGCAGATGCCACCAACCACACGATATTGTTTTTGAAGGTCTGTGAACAGTATTTTTGTTTGTCCAGGTGGATGTCTAAGCACAGTCTACTTTTACCTATACTAGCCAGAACCTTGAATAAGGGAGAAAAAGACCACAAAAGAGAGTTCTAATGATAAGGGAGAAATTTAATTCTTCTACTTTTTCTCCACTAACGATTGACACCCATGCCCAAGATCCAGCAGCAAGGCGATTTTACTGGACACGTGCGACACTCATTAATGGACAACGCAGCATGCACAATTTGTGCCAAAGGATCCAATGGTCAGGTAAGTATGGGAAAACTGGACTTGAAAAAGAATTGCCTTCCGCTTTACCCTTTGTCAAGTGGAGGAAAAATGCATAAGACAAAATAGTCCCATCTTTGCCGTATATAGTTTGAGAAGAAAACAAAAGAAGTATGGATTTGAAACAGCAAGAGAAGAAGATTCAATTGAAGAAAGCTACGACTTGGGTGACAATGCTGTTTTAGTTTGACCATGTAACAGAACTATGCTGTATGCCTGGGCCAGTGAACTAACCAAAATCAGCAGGAATTCGTCACATTTAGTGCATTTCAACCATTCGAATGGATTCGCATGAATTCCCTGTGTAAAGTATAGGTGGCCGCCATTTCGGGACTTTACACGTGGCCGCGGCCATCTTACGTGCGAACAGCGGTGTTTGCCTGTCGACGCGTGGAACTAAAATCGGATACGCAAACAGGCGAACACCGCTGAGTCCTCCATACTTCCAGAAGTTCGCACGGAAACTACCGAATCACCGGACGTTCGGTAGTTATGTTCAATCATCTATGGGGATTGCGGCGAACCCCGAGATTCGAATGGATGGCAAGAATTTCATACCTTTTTACCAGGCGAACGGAGACCGACCGCAAGGCCAAAACTCATGGAACTATTTTCGGCTAGTTGGTCTGTGCGGTCGGTCAAAACTTTGGAACTCTGTATCTCCCGAACTATTCATCCGAATGGGCTGATTTTTGGACATGTTGGTCCCCTGAATGAGAGCTATCAAGCGACCCAGGATTTAAAGCTGTACCCCCTGTTTTTGGGGAACATCCAGAACTGGGGTAAAATGTTGTACGTTTTAATTATGTTATATGTTATCTGAGGGGAGGAGACGTGGGGGTGTTACCAGGTATATGATTGGGTGTTTTTATCCTCCCCCTGGGAGTATCCTGTGTGTACCTGATCCCAATAAAAAGCAGGCTGGGTGTTCCAGTCCTCAGATCTTCTTGACCCTTCAAAACGTAGCCTTGTCTCGTTCTTGGAAGGGGATTATTTGGGAATGTTATTCTGCTCCTGTTACAGCTGAACCTGACTCTTACTCTGGATATCGTGGATGGGATTATACCAGCTTACTTCTCCACAGCAGCTTACAGGGAAAAAGGACGTCTCCAACGGCAGACACCCTCACTCTACCCGGGTAGCCGTTACAGACCATTTTCCCAATTAATTTATATTTCTTAGCCGCACACTCTTTTTATTTATATATCTATCATTTTTTTATTTACTCACTTGTAAGTTGATAGTTTGGGATTTTGTTTTCAAAAGAAAATTCGATGAAGATTCACTGCAATAACTATGCACTTTTTGATGTCTCTTCAGTTCAGCTAGTGAAGGTTATTAGCGACCTTAATACACACCCCATCCAGCTAAAACCATGACCAGACTGCACCCTATGGCTCAATTATTGCCAAGATCCACCAGGGATTTCAAGTACCAAACATTATGCCAGCCCAAGTTATCCAATAAACGACGCAGCCACAGGCAATGAAATTTCCGCAGTGCGTCAACATTTCCTGTGAGCTGACACACAGTGTCTCTTTTTTTGTAGTTTAATCTTTAAATAATTTTCTCATGTTCTTTTTTGGAATTTTTATGACTGCTCACACCGCTCAGTCTCTGCATCAAAAAGCCTACCTCCTTCTGTATCCTTTCTATGCCAATCGCCTCTCATCAGCCTTACTTTCTAACCCGTCCTTCTGACCCTTCTTTTTTTTTCCGCACAGTTCCATTCAGTTCTCCCTCACTCCTCCACCTCCCCTCGCGTGTTCCTTTTCTACAGTTCTGCTTGTAATGGATTTCATTATTAGCATCCCAATTGCTAATTACCATCCTGAGCTATTCGTTAAGCTGTCAGTTTCGTAGCTCGAGGACAGCGTACAACGCTGTCAGAAAGTGCTTAACCACTTCACCGCACCACGATTGCTTTTTTTAACGTTTGATCAAAACAGCAAATATGTAATAGTTTCACTGCTGTGGAAAAACGTGCCAAAGAAGAGTGCTCACACGAGTGTGACTAATTATTCTTCTAATAATAGTGAGCCGGTACAAAAGAAAGTGCACATTGAAATAAAGTGTATTATTGACACTAATAGGTTTAAAGGGAAGTTGCAGCTTCAAATGATGTGATAATTAGAAGAGCAGACACACTAATCATGAAGGATTTCATGTATTGCAACTGAGACAGCGCTAATTTGATCAGATTTAATTATTTCTAATGGCCTATTTTTGAAGCATCAGTCTCTCATCAGAGCTAGTCTATTAGAGGATGTGATGGGTCCTTAGACGGACCAATACAGGCTACATGTGTTCTGGAACTCTTTGGTTCTGTGACCCAATTCTATGTTAAGTGACAACTATAAAGGGACACTTTAAGCACTAAAATCACTCAATCTGAATGAAGTGGTTCTGGTTCATAAACCCTAAGAAATGGCAATGTTTACATTTGCATGAAACCTCAACTCTAGTGGCCGTCAGACAGCCACTAAAGGCACATCATCATGGAAAGACATGTAAAAACCAAGGGGGTATCACCATGTTTTTGAAAATTTTACATCAATTTAAAAGTTTATTAAAACTATGAAATCATTTGAAAAGCTAATCCAAAAATATAAAATTAAGTCCTATATTTGCAGAGGGGCCTAATTCAGTGCTTTCCTAGGGAGAATTTGAAGAGCATGTGGACGTCCAACTTAAAACTCCGTTAGGCACCAAGAAGTACTGTGACGGTAGTCCCCATCACCGGGAGCATATCTCTGACACTTCACATAGGTCCCGTGATGTCTCTTATGTTTAAGTCACCCTGTGCTCATTATAACTGCAGGGTGTGGATTGTATTTTTTGCAGAATGTCTTATTATTTTCCCTCTTGCCGTGGGGCTTGTGCAACGCCACCTATTGGTTGTTAATGAATCTCCGATGGTTATGTGCAGCTCTACCTGTTGGTTGCAACATCTACGTGCATTAACTGAATAGCTATACCCATTTTTTTTTGCACGTAAAATACATTTTTTTTATATTGTCTTCCTATACCCTTGTATGGGGCTGACCCATTAACAGGTAACCTAGTGTCCAATAAACTGGTAGTGATTAAAATATAATCTTTCTATATATGTAAACTGCATGAATTGCTGTCCTAATGTATTTTAATTATATATATGATGATATTTGACTGTACCACCCCTACCACTACTTTCCATTCTATTCACAGCACAAGGATGGGAGATGAGGGTCTTTATCCTGCGAAACAGAATCAAATATGGGAGTTTATTAAAAAGTATTCATATTTTTATTATTTTAATAGTAAAATTTTTTTCTTTACAGGAACACTACATACAGCTTAAACACTACTGCACACTGTAATGGCTATGGTGTTAGGAGTGCCCTTGCACCCACCCCCTCCATTGTGAGGGGTCTCCTTACCTGGCCGGAACTTCAGTTAGCTCTTCTGAGCAACGTCCTGAAATGCAGAGCCTAGTTCATTGCTGATGCTTGGTGTATTCCTTTAATAATGCAATCTCTGGAGTATTGCATACATTCTCACATTCACAATAAAAAAGGTTAATTCTATATTTTTGTCTGGTTTTATATATTCTATTATGAACATCCTAACTTCATGTAGAGGTGGCAAAATATAGAGAAGTGGGACAAACAAAGAGAGCGCTTAGTACAGAAATAATATGAGAGGAGCCCGGGTAGAACATCGTTGGAAACGTATTTGGGCAGTTTAACAATAAATTTTATGTTGAGGTAGTTGATGCGAGTTAACCCTTTCACTCCCACAATTAATGTATAAACATTTTTACTTTTATTTACATATTTCTCTGCGGCAGTCACATCACCTCAAACTTTATAAAGGAATTTTTAATGGTTATGCCATTTCTTG